CTAATCCTTTTAAAGTTAAAAACAGAGTTATACCAACAAAAACTGTGTTTACCTTACGTCATTGGCCAGTTCCAACTTTTGCTTTCTTGGAGAGATCAGACGCATTAGAAACTACTTTTTAAGAAGCACTTCTCCTTTACAGGTGCTGAGGGTTAAGGAGGAGTTGAGCATTTATGGCATCTTCTTTTTATTTTTTTAAATATAATTTTCAAGAAAGACTACTTCTTTTGATGTGTGGCATATATTTTTTACCATTTCCAATTGCAGTAGAACATTTTTCTCCAACTTTTGTAACTTTTCTTGGGTATTCTCACATCATCTCTTGACAGCAATAGGTGTCTCATTGCTCTGGGACTCAGTATCACAAGAACTTGATGGACTCAGTTTGGGATGATGGAGTTGCCTGGATGATAGGAAGGAAAGACCTTGTATAGTTCTGTTACTCTGCTTTTTTCTTTTGCTACCAGCAATGTCATGATTCCCAGCTTTCCTTTATCTTTCATTTCACTTCTGACTGCTCTTTGCTTTTCCTCTTCATTCTCTTTTGTTTGTTCTCTTTTGCACCTGTCTTCCCTGCAGGAAGACATTTGGTGTGTGGGGAGGTGAGGAGGCCTGTTACCAGTCAAAATATCTTGTATTTTTCCACTCCTTTCCTTTTTCACACTTCCTGCTCCACTTCTGACAGCAGTGAAGCTTCCCAGTGTGAAAGCCTCCCTCCTTGCTCTCATAGTGGGGACAGCACTAAGGGCAGTCATCTTTCCATCCCTGATGGGACTCTGCAACAGGCAGTCTTTTTTTTGTATTATGTTGTATTCTAAGTCAAGTTAGACTAAAGTTGATGGTGTTTTTTTTCTTTTTTTTTTTTTTTTCTAATCTCAAACAAGACAACCTTTATTTGAACAAAAATTAAAAAACTGAGTTTTTAAATTGAGAAACCTTAGAACTCTTGAAAAAGGCAAGCAGGAAGTTAAAAAATCCCAACAATTTCTGCTCTTTCGGGTGAGTCCTTGCTTTAGCTGATTCAGTAACTTCCTGAATGATAGCAAACTCTATCCAGGCTCCTCATGTCTGGGAAGTTCCTTTTGTTCTTCCCTGAGCTGGCAGGCTCCTTGGTGCTCCTTGGCATGCTCTCTTTCCATGCAGTGGTTTCATTGCTTCATGTATTGCCTTAAGCATCCCATAATCACAATAATCAACTCTCCAAAGATGTTCTTCCCTCTTAAGTTCTGGCTGATACCGTGTTTTCAAAAGAAAGTACAAAGAACTTAGAAGCAGTACATAGAGAAGAATCTGTCCCACAGCACTTGGGCAAGAGGGGTTGTCTTGAGCATTGGTGAGTGCATGGGGGAAGAGTAGATACAGTTCCAGTTGTTTTGTTAGAAGGAAACTCCTGGTAAAATAAAATGAATGTAAAGCAGGATTCTGAATATCATTACTCATCTGGGATTTTGGAAGAGAAGTTTCGTAGTTAAATCAGAGTATAATTTTATTTAAGTGTCCCTAGTGACTATGGTGTTATTATTTATTTATGCCAGTGCCTGCACTTAGCTAACCACTTTCCATACATTCAGGAAAAGACAGTCCCTGGCCTGAGAAATTGCAGTCTAAGGCTGGAGAGAGGTGAATATATACAGATTAGCTATATTTGTTGAATTCCTAATAAATCAGGAAGATTTTATTGCTTGCTTTGATGTGATAATGATTGCTTATCTGATACTAATGGAAAAAAAATTGCTTATGATTGATCTATATGATCTAAGAAGAGGGGTTTTTATATAGATTAAGAAAGATTTCCTATACTGTAATACAGTTGCACAATTTGATCTGTATTTACTAATAGGTCTGAAACATGAGTTGTGCTAAGACTAGCAATGTGCGAAAACGTATATCTTAACCTGAAGCTCTAAGGTAAAGCCACTATTGCTGTGGATTTAAGAGGAACAATTTATCAGGCAGGTGTGATATTTAAAAAAAGCTAAGGTTGCAGTTACACTTGCAGAAAGACTGATTGGCAGGGAGGAAAAGTAAGGTGCTGGTGATCTGTGTGGGAAGGGGTCTTTCTTGTGATGTCAAGTGTTCAGTGTGTTGGAGCAGGGTGTGTGTTGATTCTCTTTCCTTTTTAGTTCTCTGTACTTCAGGTTTTAGCTTGTCCTCTGCTCCCTCAGAGATATTACTGAATTGTGAACTGAAATAATTTCTCCCATTGGGTCCTGCTAAGACAAGTTTCTCTATAATCTGTTTTATTACCATTAAAAAATATCTGCTAATATTTTTTTCTTTTTAGCACTTGCATAGAAGGTTATGCTTTAACCTGCTGTGTTAGAAGGTTAGGTGCTTTGCCTGTAGTATGGTAGGTGGTATGGCTGTGCTTGTTTCACAGTATCTCCTTCTGTGCATGTCATCCCTTGTCTTCAGTGGGTGCTTCGTACTGCAGACCATGGCCCTTTTCCTCCCTGTCAGACCCATTGGTAAGTGATGCTCATTCTTGCAAACATGTGTTGGTTACAGAAGGCAGCTGCCTGACCACAGCAGTGACTTGAGTGCTGCTTTTTTTCTTTTCCCATGCTCACAGGCTGAAACCCAGGAGCTGTGAGAACCTCCTGCACAGTGCGAGCTGCAGGACATCCCTGCAGAAATTCAGTATTGAGTCCTATGTTTGTCACTGGGCTGCAAGCATGCCTTCTAGGAAAGTATGTCATCTGAGAGGCTGCAAAAATTACTGATTTACAGTAATCTCAGTTTAGTTGTTCCAATGGGTACCCTTAATTTTAATTAGAATTCCTTTGGCTAGTGATTTTCATGTTAGGTTTTGTTGTGTTTCTGTTGGTCTAATAAGCTAAGAAAGCATCCAAACCCTTGTTTTCCAACTGTATTTTTAAGAAATGCAACTCTGGAACATTCTTGTGGCTTGTTGATAGCATTTTTTGGCTTTCTATATTCTTAAATACTGACGTTGTACTCAGGTTCCAATATCTGAATTACAATCTCAGCTGACAGAAGGTATGGATTTTCAGAAAGTCTTTCTCCCAAAACAGAACAGAAAGAGAAGATGTTGACAATTTCTATAAATATAGGCTCAAAAGTAATCTTACAGCAAACTTGAGACATTTAATTACAGTTTGACTTTTAATAGGTTTTATTTTTAAAAATTTTAATATGATGTGATGTCACCAAATATGCAAAAATCGTATTAAACTTAAAACCAAATAATGTATATTTAAAGGCACAAGAGAAGTGTCATGAAAATCAAAACATCATCATCTTCTTTTCTAAAATTCTTTTCTTATTTAAATGTCACCTTGCTCTGAAAATGTTGAATTTTCTGATGAAGAATATCAGGAAAAAAACCCAAACAATTAGCTCATATCAGCTGGGCAGTATACAGTTGTCCTGCTTGTCAGGGATTCATTCTTATTCACACATCTGAAGTTCATACTATCCCTCATAATCACACAGTCATGTTATGAGATTTTTTTTTCATTGGCTATTTCCCTTAAACCAGAGTTCTTTTCTAAATCATTGAATTACAGGGTACTGCTTTTCAGATCTGGATGTTTGACCTGTATTCTTTGTTTGAATGAAACCAGCATTTCAAGCACCACAGCCGCTGTGTGGAACTGACCCATTCTTATCCCTTCTGCCATGCTGCCAGAATTTGTACACTAGTGCAGTGATTCTTTTGTTCAATAATAAAGGTATTTCTTATAGTTGAGCCAAGAATAGAAACTCTGTGCAATACCATTTGAAATTCTTCTGTTTAGGAATGTATAAACCAAATTTTCAGTTGAAATCCATTTTATATTCAAGAATCTGTCAGTGGGTGTTGAACTAGATACTCATATCAAGTTTTTTCATCCTTTTTTTTCTTATAACTCTATACTTGTTTTTAAACAGAAGGTCCTTCACCATGATGTAAAATAGTTTGTCAAAGCCCATTATGTCAGTATAATTTACATTATCACCTAAATTTCTAATCTCTTGTAGTAATGGTATTTGTGTGACAAAGCCTGTTTTATATAATTCTTACTGAATGACCTTAATTATGCTACCATACTCATGGCAAATGACATCCCTATCAGCCTTCCATCATTTTGTGAGCAGTCAATACCAGTCTATCCCTTTAGGTCATCCCTTTTAACCTTCTTAATACCTAATTAGCTTTTTGCCATTTTTTTCTTCTTTCCACATTATACCAATATTTCTTAAAAATCAATGTTAATCTTCTCCAAAACCTTGTTGTTTTTTGAAGAAACTCAAGGACAAGGCTCTTCTAGCTCCTGTGAGATGCTGAGGCTGTCTCAACTATTCACACATTCTCAGATGCTGGGAGGCTGTTTGATCTGAAGTTGTGTTACACCTGGACATGTACAATGAGGAAAGGTGTTTCAAGTTTCGAACTGTATACTTGTTTGACTGTAATTTGGAGAAACAGGTTAGACTGTAACTCTAAAAGTGGTCTTGGTGAGACCATACATGTTTGCCTCTTGGTGTTTGATGGCACGTGGTCAGCTGGACAGAAGGATAAATCAGCATCAAAGGCAGCGTGTGGTAAGTCCCTGAGCATGGTCCCAAGCTGGGAAACAAGAACTGTCCGGTGGCCCAGCTCACTCTGCCATGCCTGTTCTGTGGGACTTTGTGTACCTTGCAGGTAACAAACCTGCTGCTTCCTTTTCTGAAAAACAAAGGATGGCATCTGTGCTCATTTGTTATGTATCAAGTAGTTGAAATTTTTATAAATAATTTTACAATTTTGCACACAGTTTTACAGTTTAAAAATGGTAAAATTGTATGTCTACCTCTTCAGTCTGGTCAGGCTTCTGAGCTACAGCCCGCTACCTCAGCTGTGGTAGGGAAATAGGAAAAATATTCAGTCACTAAATGTGTGTGCATGCTTGGGGAACCTGGCTTAGGATTGTCTTGCACAACAAAGGGCGTGAAGACAGTAGGGGAGAGGCATTTGCTTTGCTTTGAGTTTTAATAAACTTTTTGATACTTTGCAGCCTTGAATTTGGTTTGACCTACTGCAGCAAGGATCTTTGGTGTGGTAAGTTAAGGTATACTCACTATCACTTGCAATTTGAGATTGGTAAGAAGATGACACTAAAAAGACACCAGGTAGCTGATGGCCCTATTGGACTCAAGTATCAGAAAGGATATGTTAATATGTGAAGTCCAAACATGTGCAGCATGAAGTCAGCACATGGCAGAAATGTACAAAGATTTTCCAGTTTTCTTCCTGTTTTTATGAGCCATACATAAACGTATAGACATACATATACATATACAGGCTTCTTACTCTTCTCTGGCCTGAGGAACTGGACTTGTGACTTGTTAAAACTACAAACAAGAAAGTTTGTTAAGTAAAACAAATCCATTTTAGTCATAAGTATCTGAATTGATCATAGCATCATTTATTGCACGTGACAGAAAGTATGATTGACCAGATAAAGATTGCATGCTATGCTTTGGACTTCAGAACGTGCATAAAATGTTGGTTTTACAATGCCCAGGATTTAAATGTTCTTCAAACGTCCAGTATTCCCGAAGCACATGGGATTAAATCATTATTTTAGTAAACTGATCCCCTTGAAGACAACAGAAAAAAAAGCCTTAGGTTAGTTGGCCAAGTTCCTATTGATTTCCAGCTGGCAGGTTGATATCATCTCCTTCTTCCCGCTTACATAATGCAGTCGTTAAGAAGTAATGTCTTGCTTTCTGTTTTATGATTGCATTTGATTTCTCTGAGAGTCTGTTGGAGCAAATGTGTGCAATATCAGCCTTTGTGACATAAAAAAAATTTCCCATTTTCTATGTATAAAATTGGATATAATTTCATGTTTTACTTCACTACCTCACTAATACATATCTTTGAAAGAAATGTGAGATCCTTTTGATACTTTGAGGGCAATAGTATGCAAAGCTATCATTGTCACACACTCTTTCAACTTTTTTATTATACTCTAGTCTTCCACAGCCCATTTTGTATCAGCTCTAGAACTGTGTGTGTCATCTGGCTTGGGAATATATTTGCTGTGACTACACTTCCCATGGGGTTTGCCAAGCTAAACAGAAACTGGCAAAAGCCTTCTCCATCCTGTGTCCAAAACAAACAGCCTGCTGTGGTAAGCACTTAGTCATGTCATTGTTTAGATGCTTATTTTGCTTACAAATCTCACTGGGTGGGCTTTTACTCTAAAACTAGTGGATTTTCTCAGAAAGACCCATGAACAGATTTCTTTGCCTGTACAGCTGTAAACTAGTGTATAGTCTGATTGACCTTAAAAAGAGAGGGAAACTGGAGGCAGCCACATCTAACTTTATTCTATTCCCACTTCCCACAGGCTTCACAATGTGCAGCTGCAGAACTAGGTCTCTGCTTTGGCATGGAATGCTTTCCATAGCATTTTATTAATGTAGTAGAATATACAGGTGAATGCATGTTTTCATCTGGTTGTCACCTCTAACTAATTGGCATTTACTGCTGCTGACAGTATCTTCTCAATGTACCAAAATCCAAAAGCAAGGTAAAAGTTTGCTCTTCCTAATGTGGGATTTGGTTATTATATAGGCTTATTTCAGTTGCTAAAACGTTGTCTCCTCTTTCCATGTAAGATGCTACAGTGTACCTGCTGGCCTCTTGCTGCCACTCCACAGAAGTGAATGTCTCCCGTGTGGTGGTGATCTCCCACATGCACCTCCCTTGGGCAGGACAAACATTCCTAGACAGCCTTTACAGATGGAAACTGGACCGAGCTCTTGATGCCTTTTATCCAAACATCCTGCCCAATGACTGCTTAACCTTGAAAGTTTCTAAATGTCTTCAGAGATCTTCTTCAACTTGGTCTGCAGTGCTGCCTCCCTACCAAAATTTCAGCAGATCCCAAAAGTAGGCAGAAGAGCATGCAAAATCCCTTGAAATGAGCTTGCCTGGCTCACTGCCAAAACTGTGTCCCTCCCTGGTAGTAATTATAGGTAAAGTGTTTCTAATGGACCTCTTATACCTGTAGCACTCACCCAGGAGGCAGAGACATGCATGGGGTGCTCTCCTCCAACTCAGAGACTTCAGGTTCACAGCCCCTCTGATGTAGCAAAGCACTGTAGCCGTGGGGCAGTTTGATGTCTCCTGGTGAATCCAGGAGGGTGTGGCTCAGCAGCCTCACGAGGACTCAGCTGTGAAGAGGCAGGATGCAGTGGAATGGGGGGATCAGGGCTCTCACTGCTGTTCAGGAGTCTTCTTCCTACTGAGTGGCCTACCTCAAGTTATGGAAGGAACTCAGGTATCTGCCTGAATTTCATTCTGGAAGTCAGCCTGAAAGCTAGGTGTTGGCACCTTTAAATCTTTCACTGGGTATAACCCTAAATGGCAGGAAAAAATATCTGAACCCTTCTTCTATACTTCTAATGATTTCATACGTATCTTTGCAATTGTGCACCCTGTAATGTTGATGGGTAAATGTCAGTGCTGACAGCTCTTGTGATTTGGGCCATAACTCTTGTGAAATATGTGACCATTTGTAAAGACCTGGAAGGTGGATGAAAACCAGGATGCACTAAGTTTCCATTAAAAAAATAAAATAAAAATAATTTTTTCTTTAGTTCGTATAAAAACCTTGAGAATTTGTCTTCAGTGGAAAGCTGAGGCCCAGAAGATAAATATGACTCCAAGTGTAATAAATGACCAACATTCCTAATTTCAGCTAATACAACTCTGAGCCCTGACATGACTTTTTGATTGAATTGTAGCTGCAGAACTGAACCTGGCAGAGTTATAGAACAGTCTGCTGAACATTAGAAGTGGTAAATGGATGGTGTGGGTACCAGACTGATCAGGCTCGAAAACAAGAAATCTCTCAGGTCATTCCAGAATAGATCAATTATTCATTCACCTGGCATTATAGGTCACTTAATCATACATAAACTACTGTCTAGAAAACTTTTAAATTAAGCTTTATTGCAAGCCTAACAGGCCTGTTAACTTTTTTAACTCTAAGAAAATATTTCCGGGTAATTTTTGCAAGGAGTCAACATGCACAGAAAAGTTTTCTGCTTTCCCCCACACTATTTTACATCATTTTCATTTAATGTTTTTTTTCTGTGGAAGAATGATTGTGTTACATGGTACATGCAGGCACTGGTGAAATACAAATGCATCGAGATGTAGTAGTCGTGTTACCACCAAGTATGTCCGCAATAGCTGCTGATGACTGCATAATTTTAGATTAAAAAAAAAATTATTCAGCCCCTCTAGTCTTTATGCAAGCAAGTAGTACCAGCCGATAACATGTTCTTTTAGCAAAGCCATTTCTCCAAGTAAGGTTGTTAATGGATACAAATCTAATAACCTGGGGCTTATTTTAAGTTTTTAATAAGTTGCATGTGTTCCAAATACTCATTGAAGGCAGTGCTATTTTGAAGGGATGATTGTTAAGGAAAAAAAGTCTTTAAGCAAACATCAAATGAGAAGAAAAAAATCTGAATGTCTCTATTAGCTGTCCATTTAATCCCAAAATTAAAATTGGCTCCACTGAGAAAGAGCTTTAAAAATTAGCTACATTAGCCAAATTAACTTCTTAGAGATTTTAAATTTAATTGTACAAGAATATTTTTTACTGGAAAATACCAGATTAAATTACTTTTTTTTTTGTTTTTAGCAAATGTGTATATGTTTCAGTCTTAACTTCCTTTCAGTCAATTAAACTCTTTTCATGGCTGATATGACAACTTTATATATTTCAGTTCAGAAGCAGAAGCATTTCAGAATCCCAGTGAGGTGTGCTTGAGTTAAACATTCCTCCACAAGGCTGCAGTTATGAGTGTTGATCATTAAAATCCTTTTTATCCAATAGCTAGTTCATGGGATACAGATGTATTGCATGGAGAAACCTGGACCCAAGTGGACCTCCTTCTGGAAATCTTCTAAAGAATATGGATGTGCTGTACACCAGCACAAGCTTGCTTCAATTTCAGATTCCTCTCTGGAAGGTGTTGTGCAAGATTTTCATGGCCCCTGTGGGCTTGCAGGAAGAAAAACTCATCTGCTGAATCAGGGTAAAACCCTGTTTCCAATTAAGTTTTGTGTCGATATTTCCTTTCCCCAGAGTATGTGAGGTTGCAGAGCTCCTCTATTTCAGCTGTGTGAGTACCAATGTATCTGTGCTGGCAGTGATCTAGATTAGGCAGAGGCTGGATTTAGGTGGAAGGGATCAGATAAGATGCCCACACTGGCACAGACACTTATGGCTGTGTAATCAGAGCACACACAGCCCACCTGTGCGCCCCAACACCTGCTGAGACCCTCCAGCTGGACTGTGCTCCTGCACTGAGAGGCTGGGTGTGCCCATGCATGGGCCTGGGTGCTGGTGTGAGACTATGCTTTCCTCCTCCTTGCCAAGCTCTGTTGGAGAGCTGTTCCCTTTACATGAAGAGGCAGAGAAACCAAAGCCTAGAGCAGGAGCATCTGAGCTGTCTGTTCCGAGGTTATGGAGGAGGGGCACTCTGAGGGCAGTGAGGTCTAGTCTAAAGAAAATACACCCTTGTCAGTCTCCTGAGACTCCCTCTGTCATCACTGGAGAGAGACTGTGACATATATAAGTCCATGAACCACCTTTTTTAAGTCACCTGTTTCAGGATGAAGTGGGTTGCTGTTTATATGCCTAATCCAATGGGGCATGTGAATCTTGGCTCCTGGACTTCCTGGAGGATCACTGGTGAGCTCCAAAGCTTGTCACAGATCATTCAGCTTAATGATAAATACATTTAGCATCTCATCACCTGTGACCTACAAACCCCAGCCTGAAAACCACTGGTGTAGCCAACACATGTTAGTTAGATGTTGTGAAACCTGTTATTTTGTAATATGGACAAGCTCATTCAATGTGTGCTAAAGCTACTGAAGTTTATTTTTGCTCATTGCTTCATGTGTTTGAAATTTCAAACAAGAGTCTGTGCTACGGTTTTAAAAGATTGTTAAGTAATAAAGATGCATTACCATGCTTAACATATTTTAATCCAATCTCACTGCATTTTAAAATGAGCATGAAGCATTGCATGTTGCAGTACTAATTTTGTAGCAGTGCAACTTCAGATTTTAGTGAGTACAGTTTACACTTAGACTGGAATACAGTACAAGTGCAGGAAAGAAAAGTAATTTTTAAGTCTTTGACTCATAAATCCATTGAAATAATATGATCTGTTGATCAACAAACTAATGTTTTTATACCACTATATACTGTTTATATGATTTTCCCCCTGATATTAGGAAATAGAAGTGGAAGAAGTGATTTTCTGCCATTTCTTCTATGAGCTCTCATCCAACACTTAGCAATAGTGCTTATGTGGATTTATCTCACAAACAAACTAGTGATATTTTAAAACATCCTTTTTAATTTTTTTTCTGATTTAAAATAAGTACAAGATTCAAAATTTTTCTGTGAAGCAAAAGTAATGAAAAGAGATGTTAAGGACACCTCAATGCTTAATCATTACAGGATAAAATATCTCTCCTGGCCTGAAACTGATTTAAATCTTTGTTATTTTCTCAATGTTTATGCAGCATTCCTGCAACTGAAGGGAACTGGGGCATTATCACTACAGCCTCCTGAGCTGCTTGAGCAAAAAACAGAATATCACCCCCAGCTAGCACATCTGTTTGGGCCCTTTCTTGAACACACTCTCTGCCCCAGTGGGTGTTTTTTGACCTGGAGCAGGAAACTGCACAAGAGAGGGAGAAAAGATGTGTAGAAAAAGTAATTTAGCACAACAGGAGCAGATCCATGGCGTGGGCACTGGGGCCCTGTGTCCACACTGTCCTTGCTCCAGGGGTGTGTCCTGGGACAAGGACTGCTCTGGCGGTGAGGTCTGGCTGCCCAATGGAGCTGGGGCACAGTTTGTGTTCTGGCTTCACTGGGGGGCTGATCCTGTTGGTTTGGTCCAGGACAGCTCTGTGGTCCAATCCCAGTGGTGAAAAAGAGGCATCGAAATAACAGTCCTAAGCTAGGATGCAAACACAGACATGTGCAGTGAAAGTCATCCTGAAGGGTGTTTGAAATTAGGGCAATTTCTTGATGTCAGGGAGTGCTGGTTCCAATCATTGGTGCAAGGAGTCAGGAAAAGGATGCCTTCATGGCAAATGGATAGCATAGCTACAGGGTTGGAGCTCCCATCTCCCGTTTCTCCTCTAACTCCAGCCCTTTATTTTTAAATTTCCTTTTTGAAAGTGTGGAATACAAACTAAAAAACCAAAACAAACCAAGAAACAACCCAAACCAACAAAACCAATAACAAAGCAATGTAATAGCACTTAGGGTAAAAAAAAAAAAAAAAAAAAAGAACAGATATTTTTTGTCTGATCCTCATTTATTTTATGTTTATGTCATTCATTGCTTATTTCATCTTCCTTCAAATGTTTGAGCATTTCTAATTTAGTCTGCCAAATAAGACATAGACTATGGACTTTCCAACTAGATCATCCTCAGTCTAAATACAAAGATATGAAATACATCTCTAAATACAGAGATGTTCCCAGAGGAATATTTTATTTCTTGAAAACTCTTGGGTGGATACTTGAATTAATTCTTCTACTGAGGGAAAGGGCTTCAGTTTGAGTTCAAAAGCTTTTTCCTCAGTTTTACCTGTTTTACTGGGCAATGGGCACACATATTTTCGTAGTAACACTTTGTGGGCATTTAGAGTTAATACTGAGGGGAAACACAAGGCAATATGGGAGAAGCAGCTACAGTCATTAATAAATACACGCATTTTTTGGTCAAGTTTTACAAGCATAGTTGATGTAGTAGTTGTATTTCACACTCAAAACAGCTCTATGCCATTCCTGAGTTGCCCAACAAGACCAGTAAGATAGGATTTAAGAGCTGGAAATGCTTCTGCTGCAGAAGCATCATCAGTGTCTGGTAAAATACTCACCTAATTATACCATTAGTGGTTACCTGTCTTCAGATCAGTTAAGCAACGAAGCACAGGAAAATAAATCATTAACCTTAATACCAATGAAATGACTAAATAGCTTTTAGATGTCCTAGGTTATTTTTTAATACAATAAAGAGTACATTACAATGGGTCTTTCTTGGTTGAACTACTACCACTCATTGTTTTGCACTTTACTTACAGTTTAAACAATGAAGGGTTTCATTAAGATGACCTATCATTGACAAATTAATGTAATTCCCAAACTGGAGATGCAGAGCAGAACTCTGGATGAATGTTGTGTACACTTAATCTTCCTCCCAACAACCTTGATAGGGAGTTTGTTGTTCCAGTTGCACAGAACCTATAGCAAGGTTATACACACAAGCTTTCTGATCCTCCAGTCTATTAAAAAAGTTCTACCTTCACTTTATAAACACAAGATCGAATTGTGTACATTATTTACAGCTGGTAACTCTTAAATGAAGTGTGAAACTTCTCCGTGAAACATGCCATGCATCATGCTAGCATTTAATTAGTTCCAAAGTCTAGCTCTCTTAGAGCTTCAGTGCAGTCGTTCAGCCCTGGCCCTCAGGCCAATACTGGGACAGTTTTCAAGACTGTAACCTCAATCTGGCATGGGCTATATCTATCTTAACAAGTCACATGGGCCAGCACAGGTCTATAGAGCAAAATATTTGGTGCTGATGAGTTGATGTTCATATCACATGTGGATCACCTCAGATTAGCTTGGTCTGCCAGCAATTGTAATGCTTTGGGTGTAGTCCTGGAGTGCAGCTTCAGCTTCTGCCCTTCCTTGAGAGGAATCCAGTCCATGAGCCCTTAGACTGCTCTGTTACATTAACCAAAGCACATAATAAGAAGGGACAGCTGCAAGGTTTACTTCAAAAGTGTGCTCATGATAAGGAGTTTGTGTTAACATGAACTCCCCCCACAAAGTACCATATGGATGTGAAAAGTCATCATGGGTGAATCTTGAGCAGCAGCTTAACTATGTCTTGTTCATGTAAAGGTCAGCAAAAAACTGAACCCTGACTTTTTCACAGGCAATTAATTAAAATGCTTGCTTAATTTTGTGCCAATTAAGTTTTAGGAAAAAAGAAAAGTAGAATTGTTTTCTTATAAATATATAACTTCTTAATAAATACAATTTTTTGCTAAGTATT